TATTAAAAAACTCTAAAATTACAACAGCAACCAGGCACATCTTAACACCTCTCAACAAAAGATTTTCCCAGGCTCAGGCAGGCCTTCAAATCCTAATGAAGGTGGTCAGTTGAAACATTCACACCTAGCTCTAGCAGAGAAGAGCTCTTTGCCCCACCCCAGCCATTCCACAGATATATAAACCCATTGTCCTATTTCCAACAGACCTCACTACCTCTGAGGATGCTTGCCATAGATGCAGGCGAAACGTCAGGAGAAATGCCTCTAGAACATGGCCATATAGCCCGAAAAAACCCACAAGAACCTGGCATTTTATTTGTTTTTTTCCACATTCACATGGGTCCTATGCCCTTATCCCCTGAGAATGCAAAAGGCTGGCTGTAATTGAAACCACAGAATCATAGATTCATTGAGTTGGCAGAGACCTCATGGGTCATCCAGTCCAACCCCCCATCAAGAAGCAGGAAATTTGCATTCAAAGCACCCCTGATAGCTGGTCATCCACTCTCTGTTTAAAAGCCTCCAAAGAAGGAGCTTCCACCACACTCTGGAGCAGAGAGTTCCACTTCTGAACAGCTCTCACAGTTAAGAAGTTCTTCCTAATGTTCAGCTGGAATCTCCTTTCCTGTAGTTTGAAACCATTGTTCTGCATCCTAGTCTCCAAGGTAGCAGAAAATTAGCTTGCCCCTTCCTCCCTATGACTTAACCTCACATATTTATATATGGTCATTGTGTCTCCTCTCAGCTTTCTCTTCTTCAGGCTAAACATGCCCAGCTCTTTAAGCCACTCCTCATAGGGCTTGTTCTCCAGACCCTTGATCATTCTAGTTGCCCTCCTCTGGACACATTCCAGCTTGTCACTATCTCCCTTCAATTGTGGTGCCCTGAATTGGACACAGTGATTTCAGGTGTGATCTGACCAAGGCAGAATAGAGGGGCAGCATGACTTTCCTGGACTCTGTCACTGTACTCCTATTTATTCAGGCCAAAATCCCACTGGCTTTTTTTGCCCATCGCATTGTTGGATCATGTTTACCTTGTTGTCCACGAGGACCCCAAGATCTTTTTCACACATACTGCTGTCGTGAAAGGCAGCATCCCATTCTGTATACTTTCATTTCCTTTTTTCTGCCTAAGTGGAGTATCTTGCATTTGTCCCCACTGAACTTTGTTAGTTTTGGCCCAACTCTCTAATCTGTTAAAATTGTTTTGAATTCTGCTCCTGTCTTCTGGAGTATTGGCTATCCCTCCCAATTTGGTGGTGTCTGCAAACTTGATGATCAAGCTTTCTAACCCATCATCTAAGTCATTAATAAAGATGTTGAACAGAATTGGGCCCAGGACAAAACCCTGCTTATGGCACTCCACTCGACACTTCTTTCAACTATGAAGAGGAAGCATTCATTGGTGAGAATCACCCTTTGGGTTCGTTCACTTGACTATGGATAAATGACCCCACACGTATCTGTTTGGTGGAGATGGGGGTCATACTGTATTTTCTGGCTCGAAGGGGATGGGTTTTAGAAAAGATTTTTGACAATTTCTAAGGCTTCTGGAAAATCCACGGAGCAGAAAACTAGGCCATGGACCTGTCACAATTACCCTTAAGGCAAAGTCACATAATTAATATTTCTCCCTCTCCTCCACTGTTTAGTTTTCTTTTTTTTAAAAAAAAAAAACCTGCCTCTGATCTACTCATTCCAAGCTTGCTGCAAGGAGACAAAATAATAACTCTGCTGTGTGGGGAGGTGACAAATAGGCTGTGAAAATGATTTCTTGAGATCAAAGAAATAAGTCTTTCACCTCAAAGGAAACAAGGAAACGATTGCAAAAGGGAGTAATAATGACAAGGAAGAAGAGAATGGAACAATTTTAAACTTTTTGCATTTTCCCCTCCTCCTCCCCCGCCCTCCAATTTTGGACCCATTCTCTTTGTTGGAAGCTTTTGAGTCCTGGCTTAAGATTTGCAAGTGTTATCTTTCCTTTGATAAGCTTTAAGAGGAGGGAAAAAGAGAAAACTGGACACAGCTGAGCTCAGACGTGTCTGGAACGATTCCCAGGCAATGTTTATACTTGCTGTCCTGACAGATTAAAATGTGATTCATTTCTTTAAACTAGATAAAAGCAGTTTGTAGTTTCTGGATATACATTAATGTGGACACATACCACAGGTTGGACATGATCCACAAAGGAAAAATCTCTTGGTCCAAAGACTACACGACAACCCAGTAAAAAATCTGCACATATAAACCCCATCTACACTCCCATGTAATGCAGTTTGGAACTAATTGGGCCTCAATTTCCCTAGAATGCTGTTTTTTTTCTGTGTCAGGAGCCACTTGAGAAACTGCAAGTCGTTTCTGGTGTGAGAGAATTGGCCGTCTGCAAAGATGTTGCCCAGGGGACACCTGAATATTTGATGTTTTACCATCCTGTATTTATTTATTTATTTATTTAGAAGTTTTGTATACCAGTCTTCTCAACCTCCGGAGAGGGACTCAGGCCGGTTTACAACATGTGTTCAAATACAGTAGTATAAACAACACAATACATCATCATTAAACATTAAAACCTCGCAATACAGTAAAAAACATCATCACATTACACAAGCCAAGTCGTCAATTACAGTTATAATACGTCACCATCCTTCCGTGTGCACAAAGGTTATTGACTCAGTCATCAAATGCCTTATTCCAGAGCCAGGTTTTTAGTAGCTTTCTGAACGACAGGAGGGAGGGGGCAGCTCTAATCTCTAGTGGAAGGGAGTTCCAGAGCCAAGGAGCCACCACCGAGAAGGCCCTGTCTCTCGTCTCCACCAGACGCGTTTGCGAAGGTGGTGGGACCGAGAGCAGGGTCCCTCTGGAAGATCTTAATAACCTTGATGGTTCATAGGGGAGAATCCGTTCGGACAGGTAAACTGGGCCGGAGTCGTTTAGGGCTTTATAGGTCAAAACCAGCACTTTGAATTGTGCCCCTGCATGGGGAGCTGGGGCTGACAGAAGGGAGTTCACTCTGCTCTCTGGATTCGAACCACCGACCTTTTAGTCAGTAGTCCTGCTGGCACAAGGGTTTAACCCATTGCACCACCAAGAGCTCCAGAATTATGGTTAATTATTGGAGGGAGAACTGGAAAACTGAATCTCATGTATATACACAGAATCTCAAGCAATGGATGACTTGATTTACACTGCAAAACAAATCTGCAGGTGCCACTTCAAAATTTTAATGTTAATTATCTGTCTTCTCCTCCAACCTTTTCCCTCTTGGCATATACTACATACATCATTCAGAGTTCTGCCAATACATCTTTTTGCAAATATTCCGCCAATATGCCATTTATCTATTAGCCCAGGCATTTCATTTTCTTTTTAAAAGAAGCTCAGCATAACTCAGGCCCAATCAATTGCTCTCATAGAAGATCAATGGCAGACTCAGTCATACATTTTTAAAATGTCATTTGCATTGGATTGTAGCTCAGTGCTTCCCATCAAATGCCATTTATAAAACATGCATGAAAAAGTAGGCAAGATGCTCATGTAAGACTTATAAGCTGGACCCAGAACAGTGGCCTCCAATTATTTACCAAAATCTAGTCCAAATAGAATGGTCTTGCAGATCTTCCAGAAGAGATTTAAAAGTTGAACTATCCATTAGTATTGGGAAAATGACAACACATTCTCCTCCCCGCCCCCCGCCCCGAAAATCACAACTACAGAATGAAGTCTCTACAGTGGTTCTCAACCTGTGGCTCCCCAAGTGTTTTGGCCAACAACTCCCAGAAATCCCAGCTGGTTTACTAGCTGTTGGGATTTCTGGGAGTTGAAGGCCAAAACATCTGAGGACCCACAGGTTGAGAACCACTGTTCTACTACTTATTGACATATAAATACAGTAGAGTTTCATTTATCCAACCTTCACTCATCCAACGTTCTGTATTATACAACGCAGTCTGCTTCCCACCCAGATCCACAGCTGTTTCAACACATTACAATGTTTTCTTGCTATATTTGTAAATACAGTAATTGCTACATAACGTTATGTTTTTTTCTGTTGATTTGTTGTAAAACATGATGTTTTGTTGCTTAATTTGTAAAATCGTAATGTAATTTGACATTTAATAGGCTTTTCCTTAATCCCTCCTTCTTATCCAACATTTCCACTTATCCAAAGTTCTGCTGGCCCGTTTATGTTGGATAAGCAAGACTCTACTGTATTGTTGATGTAAAAGCAAAACTTGCTGAGGAACGAAGTATTTCCTACTAAAAAGGTAAAAGTAAAGGTTTCCCCTTGACATTAAATCTATTCAAGTCTGACTCTGGGGGGGGGGGGTGAGCTCATCTCCATTTTTAAGCCGAAGAGCTGGTGTTGTCCATAGACACCTCCTAGGTCATATGGCTGGCATGATTGCATGGAGCGCTGTTACCTTCCCGCCAAAGCAGTACCTATTGATCTACTTGGCAGAAGCTGGGGCTAGCAATGGGAGCTCACCCAGCCCAGAGATTCAGACCGCTAACCTTCCAGTCAGCAAGTTCTGCAGCTTAGTGGTTCAACCAGCTGTGACACCATGGACCCCTTATTTTCTGCTACATCCCTATTAAGATGATCCCAACCAACCAGGGATCATGTCACAATCATAATAACATTATTTGCATAACAAAACCAGATTGCAAACAAACAAATAAGCTCAACAACTTGGCGGGGCAGTGACCTACATGTCTTTCTACACTGCTTTGAAGCTTCCAGCAGAGATACCACAGCTTCTAAATCAACAGACTGTTGAGGATAAAGTCATGTTACCCACCAACTGAGCTTTGGAAAGCTACTTTTTAAAACTATTGTTCTCTCTTATAAAGCTGGCAGATTCAGGGAATCCAAAAATGAGAACACCTTCAAGCTCTGTCTGCCACTCTTGAGCATCTTAGGAAACAGACAGAATAAGAATATAGTAGAAATAACATTAAATTGTGCTGGAGGTGTTACAATATTCTTCACATACTTACCAACACAGTATCCCACCAGATTAAGATATTGTTTTTCCTTGCAGGGAGTTCTACATCTTCCATTGGCAAAAGTGGCATAGGGCTGGCAGGCTGCACATTCAACATCTGAAGGCCCGGTACATGTCTTGCAAGAGGGATGGCACACTGGACAAGATAAAGATGACAAAGAGCTCTGGTAAGACATTCCACAGCTTTGCCCAGAAGTAAACACTGGCTTGGAAACTCACAAAATAACACATACGTTCTTGCAGCTGCATCATTGTCAAAGAGGCCCTACAGCAAAACTGTGACATGCACATAGAGGGCAATGTCCTAGATAAGGGAGATGTAGCAGGCACTTTCACTTGAAGGAATTGTGTCATATCTTTTTTCCATCTATCCCTATACCCAACTTCTCATTGCCTGAAGATCATTTAAAATAGCCATCTATTAGCTTGTGGAAAACTAGGGGACAGAGAATATCCAGTTATGTTTGCATAGGTAGACACACAGCAACAAAGCATCCATTGGAGCTTCCTGGAAGTCCTAGAAGATGGCAGTACATGGTCAAGGGGAGTTCAGCAAGTAAACAGTGAGTTGAGGGAAGTTTTGTTGCTGTGTGAGGCTGGCAGAGAATTCCAGCCCCATTATCAGCTCAGCGGTTTAACCCACTGTAGTGCAGTGGGTCAAACCACTGAGCTGCTGAACTTGCTGACCAAAAGGTTAGTGATTCAAATCCAGGGAGTGGGGTGAGCCCCCCGCTATTAGGCCCGGCTTCTGCCAACCTAGCAGTTCAAAAAATTGCAAATGTGAGTAAATCAATAGATACCGCTTCTGCAGGAAGGTAACGGCGCTCCATGCAGTCATGCCAGCCACATGACCTAGGAGGTGTCTACGGACAATGCCAGCTCTTCGGAGATGAGCACCAACTCCCAGAGCTGGACATGACTAGACTTAATGTCAGGGGAAACATTTACTTTTACCTTACAGAGGTATAAGTTGGACATATGCATATGTAAGTCTCCAGTAAGATGCCCGCCATGTTATTTACAATGAATACTACAACCCTGCTCATGAATCAAAGTATGTACTGTGCCCCAATTTCCTCTTGTGAAATTCCCCATTTCCACATAACTTCCTTTACAGACAGCCATACATTGAGGAGGGGGATCTAAAGCAGAATTAAATGTGTGTTCAGTCCTAAAACACACAGTGCATTTTATTTTTGTTCACATAAATGTGAGTAGACGATCGCTTGAAACCTTCTTCCTTTCTGCAAGGAAGTTAAGAACTGATGGAAATGTGGCCCTGAATGGACACACATACAAGTCACTATTTTGAGTTCCTACACATTCCTCTGAACACATCAAGAGGAGCCTGACAAGTTCAATAGCAGATGTCCATAAAAAGGTGAGCTGTCTTGCTGGAAAGTGTCATTCAAGTGCCTTTGTAAGGGACAGATTAAGTCTCATGCTAAGTAAGATACAAGCTGAGTGTAAACTGAGGATGACCACTGTGCTAACATAGATATGTAGAGCTTATTTGACCCCGCTGTTTGTGCTACAGATTGAAATGCAACCAGCTATTTTGCACTTATGGGCTTAGATCTCCTGCAACCATAAGAGGTCACATTGGCTATATAAACAACTCTCATGCAGCCAGTTAATAACTGGTTTCAACATATTCTCTTCCTTGAATCTTTGCTACATTTCCTCCTCCATAAACTTCAGAGTCTGCAGCCAACTCTCAATGAAAAACAATAACCCACTCCACAGTAAGAGAAAAGGTTTATCTCTCCTGTCGGCTTGCGGAATATAGATTATCCTCAAGCCTCTCAAAGCATTTGCAACATACTTTCACAAGCGGTTCCCATTAATAAAATAAAAAGAGAGCTTTTCTGTTATCTATACTGCTAAGAGCCAGGAATTCCTCTGGATGTGTACGCGCAAGCTCAGCCTGAAATTAAACGGGATCTTTACGGAAGATTAATCATGCCTTTGAAGTTTCAAACAAATATACCATAAAGTAAGGATAAGTAAGGAGATACCACCAACATCCTCCAAGTTTATTTTGGGTTTTTAAAAGAAGTTAAAATCTGTTCTGTTATTTACAATGTTTGTTTATCCATCTGTTTTGCTATACAAATCCACATATTTGATCATAGTCACCAAACATTTTGTCTAGTGAATCAAAATACAGATACCTTGAGTCCCTCCTGAACAAAGACTGGAAAATGTTTGCATTGCAGATTCCAGAATGTCTGCTTGCAAATTAGTTTTGACCAAATATGGAGTTTAGATTTAGATTAACATTGTGAACATTTCCCCAATTTTTAAAACAATCAGATAACACTTTTTTTTTTTGGAGAATGGGTTTTTTTTCCATGTCAGGAGCAACTTGAGAACCTGCAAGTCACCTCTTGTGTGAGAGAATTGGCCGTCTGCAAGGACATTGCCCAGGGGATGCCCAGATGTTTTACTATCCTGTGGAAGGCTTCTCTCATGAACCTGTATGGGAAGCTGGAGCTGACAGATGGGAGCTCACCCCACTCCCCGGATTCAAACCACTGACCTTTCAGTCAGCAGTCCTGCTGTCACAAGGGCTTAACCCAGTGGTTTTCAACCTGTGGGTCCCCAGGTGTTTTGGCCTACAACTCCCAGAAATCCCAGCCAGTTTACCAGCTGTTAGGATTTCTGGGAGTTGAAGACCAAAAATATCTGGGGACCCCCAGGTTGAGAACCACTGGTTTAATCCATTGCACCACTGGGTGCTCCAGAGAATGACTTGGGTCCTTTTAATATAGAAATTGGCATGAAAATTCATTGAGGGATAGAGAGAAGGACCTTTTCTTAAAAATTTAAGACATGAGATGGGAGAATATGGTCCTTCAGATATCCTCACCTAGCTATATAGGGCTCTAGCACTTTGAATTATGCCCAGAAAACAGACTGGCATGGCAGTGAAGCTATTGTATGAAGGCAGTTGTATATTCCCATAGCCAGCACTCACCTTGACTGCAGCTCTTTCGATCAGCTGAAGTTTCCCAGCACTTTTCAAAGCCAGAACAATATAAAAATAATGTCACAGCAAGCCAAAAGATATGTATTTTCATAGCCAGATCCAGTATCTTAAGAACTGGTGCAACAGGTGCACAAACGTTAACTATGAAAATGATCTCCTGACCACTATAGAGACTTGTGCTTCCAAGACTCAGGGATGAATCCTGGAGTACATCTAAGCTGCACAACTTTTCCCAGTACAGGCTGAATCCCTATTCCATGATCTGTGTTTCAACTTACCAGGAGCACCTCCGTCACATTTGGATTAAATTTCGATTTCTTTGCTCTCATCCAGTCTATTATTGATTATGTGCAATAAAACTGCTTCCTTGGACAAAGTCGAAAGGAATAATAGCCATTCAACACAAAGTTTGCACCGTACAAGCAATGCACAACTCCACCTGCAGAGATTTCTACTTCGTAAACTTATTACTAGTCACTCTACTCATTTTGCCTGCCCTTTGCTACCTCGTTGTACTAGCCCTGGTCTAGCCCTATTATTCAGCAGGTCCTGGAAATAAATAGCCCCAGGCACTACCCTGACCACGAGTTGGGCCCCCGTTTTGCACTTTATCCACTTCTCTGGCCCTATGGGTCCCCATTGGCCCAGTCCTCTTATAGCGGTGCAGTAGGCCTTGGAAATAAATAGCTCCAGATCCCATCCTGATCATGAGGCACAACCAGCTTGCAACTTTACCCACTCTCCAGGCCTTAGTCTACTCTGTTATAGTAGTCCAGCTCTCTTGTAGTCATCAAGGCCCACTCTGGAATTCTGGCTATTAGAAGCTGAACTTGCCCGATGGAAATTAGTACTGAACGGGCTTTTACTTTTAAATATGTATGACAGTTATACAGAATTATGTCTATGTTTTATAATGAATATTTTGTATGTTTTAGTGTTGGTAATTGCAATGCTTTCCCTATGCTAAAAAACACCCTGAGTCCCCTAGGGGAGATAGATTATTATTATTATTATTATTATTATTATTATTATTATTATTATTGAGATATATAGATATAGACACCCTAGCTTTCTTCCCAAATGGGTCTCATACAGCTCAACAATATAATGACGAAAAGACTGGCATAAAAATGTTTAAAAGCAAAAAGCCAAAGTATATCATTGAATCATAGAATCAAAGAGTTGGAAGAGACCTCATGGGCCATCCAGTCCAACCCCCTGCCAAGAAGCAGGAATATTGCATTCAAATCACCCCTGACAGATGGCCATCCAGCCTCTGTTTAAAAGCTTCCAAAAGGAGCCTCCACCACACTCCGGGGCAGAGAGTTCCACTGCCGAATGGCTCTCACAGTCAGGAAGTTCTTCCTCATGTTCAGATGGAATCTCCTCTCTTGTAGTTTGAAGCCATTGTTCCACGTCCTAGTCTCCAAGGAAGCAGAAAACAAGCTTGCTCCCTCCTCCCTGTGGCTTCCTCTCACATATTTATACATGGCTATCATATCTCCCCTCAGCCTTCTCTTCTTCAGGCTAAACATGCCCAGCTCCTTAAGCCGCTCCTCATAGGGCTTGTTCTCCAGACCCAAAATGCTCTGAAATGCTCTGAAACATTTCTTCAAAATGGAAGATATTCTTCCCCTTCCAAAGATCGCTTTCTCAGGACTGGAGTGGGGAATTCAAACAGGGAAGGGGCCCAGTTCTCAGGCTTATTTTGCAATGGAGGAATTTGAATCTACCAGATTCTAAATTGCTGCCTCCATTCCTTGCTACTTATGCATCAAGAATACTACTGAGTGTAAATTTCAGACCAAAGAGCTTTTGAGGTTGGATGCTCCCTATCAACCTAGAAAGCATTCTCAACATGTATATTGATTGTTCATAATTCAGAGTGGTATTGCAATATGTTTGCAAATGGGCTGTGCATATCATATCTCCAACGTGGGAGCACAAACTTCTCCTTTAAATGACGCCCAAATATATCTTAATGAGGCTAGTATTCCCAAGACTGTACAGCTGTCATCAGGATTCTGCTAAAAGAGGGAAGGTTTTGTCATGAATGATGGCAGAAGTGATTTTTCCCTATTTGTTTTGAGTCCTCATCAAGCACAGTATGGTTTGGCATTTAACAAGATACTCAGTATGTGTGGACTCACAGTGACATTGCTCCTCCTGGTGATACATTCCTTCTCGACACTCAGAAACACATTGGCCTTCATGGAGGACTTGAGGAGGAGCACATGCCGTGCAGTTCTTTGGGGACTTTTCCATACAGGACAGGCAGGAGGAGTGGCACTCTGCAGCAAAGGAAAAGAAAATGAGGGTAGGAAACCCAACAGCTTGAGCATGACCAACTGACCCTGTCTGGTTTAAGGTTGCCTATAGAACTTTCTTAGGTTGCATCTATATCAACAAAATATTATGAATCTGCTTCCCAAAAACTAGGAAAATGTTACAAAAATATATAAACAAAATGCTGGAAGTATGAAACACAGAAGGGAACATTCTATCATATGTGGTGGCAGTGCTACAAAACAAAAGAATACTGGAAATAAATTCACAAAATATCCCAAAAATACCAAATAAAAAATGCAAATGAAATTAGAAATTTACCTATTAGGAATAACAGACAGATAATTAGACAAGAACAAGGAAAGACTCTTGACTCTTGAAGAAAGAGAACGGAGTAGCCCAGAGGGACCCGTGTATAATATAATAGGAACGGGAAACAACTGGAAGGCGAAGCCATGGCAACCTGAAGCTGTAACATATCAAACAGTCAACAATGAATTATGGGTTGTTATCACGGCTGCTGAAGGCGTCATGGAGGAGGGAGAGGCTTCCGTTAACCGGGGAGCCCCCATAGAAGTCGTGGTGGGGAGGGGGAGATACGGGAAAGGGAGACCTTCAATTCGGCCTAGGGAACGTGGAACAACATTAGTAATTCCAAAGCGGTCTCCTGATACGGTAAGTTGGTGTAACCAGGATGGCGGTCCCTCCGGATTGAAAGTGGTGCTGTTGAACGCCAGATCTGTCAATGGTAAAACAACTTTCATCCAGGATTTAATCCTGGATGAACGGGCAGATCTGGCGTGCATCACAGAGACCTGGCTGGACGAAGCGGGAGGTGTAAACTTGACCCAGCTTTGTCCACCTGGGTTCTCTGTGCAGCACCAACCGAGATCCGGAGGGCGGGGAGGCGGAGTTGCAGTAGTCTATAGAGATTCCATTCTTCTGACCAGGGCCCCCATCCCGCAGTCAACAAATTTTGAATGCGTCCACCTGAGGGTGGGTGACCGGGACAGATTAGGGATTCTGTTAGAGTACCGTCCACCTCGCTGCACTACAGACTCCCTGACTGAGCTAGCGGGGGTGGTCTCGGACCTGGCATTGGAGTCCCAGCGGCTGCTTGTGCTGGGGGACTTCAATGTCCATGCCGAGACCGCCTTATCGGGAGCGGCTCAGGACTTCATGTCTACCATGGCAACCATGGGGCTGTCCCAACAGGTATCTGGCCCCACCCACAGTGCTGGACATACATTGGACTTGGTTTTCTGTCAGGGATGGGAGGAAGGTGGCGGTGTTGAGGAGTTAACCATCTCTCCGTTGCCATGGACTGACCACCACCTGGTCAGCTTTAGACTCACTGCACCCCCTAACCTCCGCAGAGGTGGAGGACCCATTAAATTGGTCCGCCCCAGGAGGCTTATGGATCCGGATGGATTCCTGATGGCTCTTGGGGAATTTCCCGCCACCTCGGTTGGTGATCCTGTCGATGCTCTGGTCGCTCTCTGGAATGGGGAGATGACTAGGGCAAGACACGATCGCTCCAGAACGTCCCCTCTCAAGTAGCCGAGCTAAACCAGCCCCTTGGTTTACTGAGGAGCTGGCAGCGTTGAAGCGAAAGAAGAGGGAACTAGCGTTCGGATCCGGGCGAGCCAAATCGAACACGGTTTGTGTCCTTTTTAAGGACATATGCCGCGGCAATAAGAGCCGCAAAGAAGACTTTCTTTGCGGCCACTATTGCGTCTGCAAAGAACCGTCCGGCTGAACTGTTTCGAGTTGTCAGAGGCCTGTTAAAACCCACCATTCAGGATGGGTGCCCTGATGACTCGGCAGCTCGCTGTGAAGCCCTTGCTCAGTTCTTTGCAGACAAAGTCGCTTTGATCCGCTCTGGACTGGACACCATATTAACGGCAGTCTCTGAGGATGTAACACGAGCATCTGCTTGTCCAATTTTGATGGATTCATTTCAATTGGTTCAATCCAAGGATGTGGACAAGGTGCTTGGAGGAATGAGAGCTACCACATGCATCCTAGACCCCTGCCCATCCTGGCTTCTAAAGGAGGCCAGAGGGGGATTGGCCGAGTGGGTGAAGGTGGTGGTTAATGCCTCCCTTCGGGAAGGCAAAATTCCAGCCAGCTTAAAACAAGCTGTAATAAAACCGCTGTTGAAAAAACCATCACTGGACCCCACTCAATTCGACAACTTTCAGCCAGTTTCCAATCTCCCATTTTTGGGCAAAGTCTTGGAATATGTGGTGGCCTCACAACCCCAGGCATTCTTGGTAGACACGGATTATCTGGATCTGGCACAGTCTGGCTTTAGGCCGGGGCATGGTACCGAGACAGCCTTGGTCGCCTAGTGGATGATCTGCGTCGGGAGCTCGACAGGGGGAGTGTGTCCCTGTTGGTGCTGCTTGACCTCTCAGCGGCCTTCGATACCGTCGACCACGGTATCCTTCTGGGACGCCTCGCGGGGATGGGTCTTGGAGGTACTGTCTTGCAGTGCTCCGGTCATTCCTCGAGGGTCGGTCTCAGAAGGTGTTACTGGGAGACTCCTGTTCAACCCCACAACCTTTGTCTTGTGGGGTTCCTCAGGGTTCAATACTGTCTCCCATGCTGTTTAACATATACATGAAGCCGCTGGGAAAGATCATCCGAGTTTCGGAGTGCGATGTCATCTGTATGCGGATGATGTCCAACTCTGTCACTCCTTTCCACCTGCTACTAAGGAGGCTGTCGAGGTCCTCAACCGGTGCTTGGCCGCTGTGACGGTCTGGATGAGGGCGAACAAATTGAAATTGAATCCAGACAAGACAGAGGTACTCCTGGTTAGTCGCAAGGCCGAACAGGGTATAGGGTTACAGCCTGTGTTAGACGGGGTCGCACTCCCCTGAAGACACAGGTTCGCAGTTTGGGTGTGATCCTGGACTCATCGCTGAGCCTGGAACCCCAGGTTTCGGCGGTGACCAGGGGAGCATTTGCACAGTTAAAACTTGTGCGCCAACTGCGACCGTACCTTGGGAAGTCTGACTTGGTCACGGTAGTCCACGCTCTGGTTACATCCCGTCTTGACTACTGCAACGCTCTCTACGTGGGGTTGCCTTTGAAGACAGGCCGGAAGCTCCAATTAGTCCAACGGGCGGCAGCCATGATACTAACAGGAGGCGCAGGGAGCGCACAACTCCTTTGCTGCACCAGCTCCACTGGCTGCCGAATTGCTACCGGGCTCAATTCAAAGTGCTGGCGTTGGCCTTTAAAGCCCTAAACGGTTCTGGCCCAACTTATCTATCCGAACGTATCTCAGCCTATCAGCCCACCAGGACCCTAAGATCTTCTGGAGAGTCCCTGCTCTCTATCCCTCCGGCTTCAGAAGTGCGGCTGGCGGGAACGAGAGACAGGGCCTTTTCTGTGGTGGCCCCTCGGCTTTGGAATGCCCTCCCCATAGAGATAAGATCAGCTTCCTCGCTGATGGTATTTCGGAAAAAACTGAAGACATGGATGTTTGAACAAGCATTCGGTTAATCCGGTGCGATGGAGTTGATGATCAAGGACTGGTAATCATAGACGACGAAATTGGATTATGATTTTAACTAAGAGATGCATTGGTCTGTATTGGTGGCCCGATACTGTGTACTGTATATGTGTTTTATGATTTTAAATTGAATATTGTTGTTTTTAAGTGTTGTAAACCGCAATGAGTCGCCGTTTTAGGCTGAGATATTAGCGGTATACAAGTGCATTAATAAATAAATAATAAATAATAAATTGAACTATCTAACAACAGCTGCGAGAATAGTATATGCAAGGAATTGGAGACCAAAAGAAACACCATCTACACAACAATGGATAGAAAAGGTCCATTAAAATTAACACTATTATTGACAAAGTATCAAGGAACATGGGGAAAAAAGAAACAGATTGGAGCCCAGTGAGAGAATACTTACTAAAAAAAGAAAAAGAATATTGGTCTAGACTAACAGAATGGAAGAAATACTGCTCGAAGAGGGAAAGAAAAGAAGAGTTGAAGTCCAAACTGATTTACGAAAACCAAAGTTTGGAGAGAAAGGGAAGAATAAACCAGAATACCCCCCTCCCCCCCCCTTTTTTTTCTCTCTCTTCCTTTTCTCTTCCCTCTTCACTTTCTCCATTTTTATTTTCATTCATTCAAAATATACTCTGAAGCTGCCCTGGATATAGCATGGGGAATCCACACCTATTGGCAAAGGAAGCACCCCAAACCCCTTTAGGAGTTCTCATGTTGAGCTGATAGTGCATTGGCACAATTGTCTGGACCTTCTAGGAACCTTCTAGGAGCTCCCTGCAGGGTCTTGCTGGTGATGTTTCTTCTGGAGAAGCCATGTTATCACGAGAAGCAATGTTGTCAGCACAGCTCTGCGAGGGAGGTGCTTCTGGTTAGTAAGACAGCAGTGAGTCTTTTTGACATGTGGGCATTGGACCATGTCCAATCCTGCTGTTCATCCAATTAAAAACATGGAGGTCACACCAGAATTTTCTGGGAGCTCTAGTGAAACCTCCAATTCTTCTTAAGCTGGATTAACATCTGGAAGCAGGGCTTCTGCTTATTTATTTATTTTATTTATCGTATCAGGAGCAACCAGACATTTGTATTACATTTTTAACAGAACAAACAAACAGACAAAACATAAAGTTTGCAAGCTTGGTAGTTGATTAAATGTCCTTTGACCAGTATCTGGCCACTTGGAGTGCCTCTGGTGTTGCTGCAAGAAGGTCCTCCATTGTGCATGTAGCAGGGCTCAGGTTGCATTGCAGCAGGTGGTCAGTGGTTTGCTCCTCTCTGCACTCGCATGTCGTGGATTCCACTTTGTAGCCCCATTTCTTGAGGTTGGCTCTGCATCTCGTGGTGCCAGAGCGCAGTCTGTTCAGCGCCTTCCAAGTCGCCCAGTCTTCTGTGTACCCAGGAGGGAGTCTCTCATTTGGTATCAGTCATTGATTGAGGTTCTGGGTCTGAGCCTGCCACTTTTGGACTCTT